ATTTCCTGTATTTTCATCTGGATTATATTATACAATAATAAAAATGATTAAGTCACATATTGTCATACACCAGAAGTGTTTTGACCCAAAAACGTTTATGATATGGCATAATCAACTCTGGCATCCGGGATCTATAATGATGCGTCGAATAATTAAAAATTCACATTGACATCCATTAAAGAATCAGAACACTCTTTTACCAAGTGATTATCCATGTTTTTCTTGTTCACAAGGGAAATTAATTATTAGACCATCATTCACAAAAGTAATTATTGAATCTCCATCATTTTTGCAAAGAATTCAAGTGGATATATGTGGACCCACACATATTTCTTGTGGACCATTTCATTGTTTTATGGTTTTAATAGATGCATCAACTAGATGGTCACATGTTTGTTTACTTTCTACACGCAATGTTGCATTTGCCAGACTCCTTACTCAAATAATTAAATTGCGAGCACATTTTTCTGACCATCTTATCAAAACAATTATTCTTGATAATGCCAGTGAATTTACATCCCGAGCATTTGATAATTATTGCATGTCCATTGGCATTGATATTGAACACCTTATTGCACACACTCATACCAAAAATATTTTAGCTGAATCTTTCATTAAGAGACTTTAGTTGACTGCTTGGCCTTTGCTTATGAAAAACAAATTACCTATTTCAGCATGGGGCCATGCTTTATTGCATGCATCATCTTTGATTCGTGTCAAACCAACTACTTATCATGAGTACTTGTATTTGGTCAACCACCAAATGTTAGTCATCTTAGAGTGTTTGGCTGCGCGGTTTATGTTCCTATTGCACCTTCACAGCACACTAAGATGGGTCTACAACGTAGGTTTGGAATTTATATTGGTTTTGATTCTCCATCAATCATTAGATATCTAGAACTTTTGGTTGGTAATGTGTTTAATGCATGATTTGAGGATTATCATTTTGATGAAACAATTTTTTCATTATTAGGGAGGAGACAAGTCGTAGCCTGAAACTCGACAGGAAATCACTTGGAATACTTTGACGTTATCTCATCTTGATTCTCATACTAATCAATGTGAACTAGATGTTCAAAGGATCATTCATTTGCAAAGTATTACAAATCAGTTACCGGATGCATTCATAGACACAAAAAATGTAACAAAGTCTTACATACTAGCAGCTAATACCCCAGCAAGAATTAATGTTCTTGTCAGACAATCAGTGGATATAATAGCAAATGAGTCTAAGGCACACCAGAAGCATGGGAGACCCATTGGTGTAAAAGAGAAAATTCCTTGAAAGAGGAAAGTTCAAGAACAAACAATTGGTACTCTAGAAGAAACCATAAATGGATTTCCTGGAGAGATCATACTCATAAATGAAAGTGCCCCTAAAGAGGTTGGAACCACAAAACAGACTATAGTAAGTCTATCTAAATCTCCTACTTATGAACCTCCAGAAGAGAAACCTTCTAAAGAGTTATTCCCTGAAGTGGAAAACATACCTAAAAATAATGAGATCTCAATACATTATATGAGTACAGGAGAAGTTTGGGATAGAAATAAAATTGTTGTCGACAACAAATGTCGTTTAAAGTTGCTCTTGACATTACTAGAAGTAATGTTGAAAACATTATCAAAAGTGATGATGACAATGAATCACAAACTGTCGAGGAATGTCGATAGAGAAATGATTGACCAATATGGAAAAAAAGCAATACAAACAGAGTTAAACTTGCTTACAAACGTAAAGTATTTGGACCTGTAGTCCAAACCCTTGAAGGGATACAGCCTGTGGAATATAAATGGGTGTTTGTTCAAAAACGCAATGAACAAAATGTAATTATAAGATATAAAGCACGACTTGTTGCGCAAGGTTTCTCGCAGAGACCTGGTATTGATTATGAAGAAACATATTGACTCGTAATGGATGCAATTACATTCAGATTTTTTATTAGCTTAGTAATCACAGAAATTTAGATATGCGCCTAATGAATGTAATTACAACATATTTATATGGATCACTAGATAGTGATATATATATATATATATATATATGAAACTCCCTAAAGGATTTAAAATGCTAGAAGCATCTAATTCAAAACCCGTAAGTGTTTATTCAATCAAGCTATAAAGATCTCTATACGAGTTAAAACAATCCGGACGCATGTGTTATAATCGGTTCGGTGTATATCTGTTGAAAGAAGGATATGTAAATGATTTGATTTGTCCATGCATTTTTATTAAGAAATCAAAATCCGGATTTGTATTTGTTGCAGTATATGTTGATGATTTTAATCTTGTAGAAACTCTAGAAGAGCTTACAAAGATTGTAGAATATTTAAAGAAAGAATTTGAAATGAAAGATCTTGGCAAAACAAAATTTTGTCTTGGCCTACAAATCGAATATTTCCCAAATGGGATTCTTGTACATCAATCAACATGTATAAAAAAAAAAGTCTTGAAGAACTTTTATATGGATAAAGCTCATCCTTTGAATACTCCTATGATTGTTCGATTTTTTGATGTGAAAAATGATCTTTTTTTACCTCAAGAAGATAATGAAGAACTCCTTGGTCTTAAAGTACCATATCTTAGTGCAATTGGTGCTCTTATGTATTTTATTAATTGTACCAGACCTGATATTGCATTCGTTGTCAATTTATTAGCAAGATATAGTTCCTTACAAACTCGAAGTCATTGGAATGAAGTAAAGCAAATATTACGTTATCTTCGTGAAACAACTGGTATAGGCTTATTTTATTCAAATAAATCCAAGCCACGGTTAATCGAATATGCAGATGCTGGATATCTTTCTGATCCACATAAAGGTAAATTACTAACAAGAAATGTCTTTACCTATGGGCATATTGCTATATCTTGGCGATTAGTAAAACAAATATTGATTGCTACTTCTTCAAATCACTCAAAGATTCTTGCAATTTATGAAGCAAGTCGATAATGTATTTGGCTCAGATCCATAATTCATCATATTCAAGAAAGATGTGGATTGTCTTCAACAAAAGATAATCCAATCATATTATGGCCCCGTTTGATAGAGCTGTGGGAAAGTGATTATAACTTATAACCCAACAGTTTATAGCTTATAGCTGTGAACATAAGTTATTTTTTAACTTATAAATTAGGCTTCTCCTCCCCCACTCAAAGAATAAGTTGATTTTTGATTTACAAAAAGCTATAAGCTGTATTGTTAAGCTGAACCAAACACATCAAAATAGCTTAAATTAAGCCAAAAGCTTAAATAAGTTGGAAATAAGCCCTACCAAATAAGGCCTATATAAAGATAATATTACGTGTACCACACAGATCAAAGGAGGCTATATCAAAGGTGACAAGACTAAACACATTTCACCAAAATTCTTTTACATACATGAGCTTCAGAAGAATGGTGATATTGATGTTCAACAGATATGCTCAAGTAATAATCTGGCAGATCTATTTACTAAAGCATTACCGACTGTAACATTCAAGAAGCTGGTGCATAATAATAGGATGCGTCGATATAAAGACCTATTATGTAGTATTGAGGGGGAGTCATCAATTTTAGTAGATTTGTAGACTGTACTCTTTTTCTTTCGTCTAAGGTTTTTTCCCATCGGGTTTTCTTTAGCAAGGTTTTAATGAGGTAATCTAAACAAATCACATACAAGAATATTGTACTCTTTTTCCTTCACTAAAGATTTTTTCCCATTGAATTTTCCTTGGTAAGTTTTTAACGAGACATATTCTTAATATATGGTTATCCAACGGGGAGTGTTGTGAAATATTTAGATACCATCAAAAGAGATGTAATTGGAATTCTAATGAGTTTTGGGCCAAAGTGAAAATAAGAGAAAGTTTTTTCATGTAGAAAGTGTGGTATGTCATGTGGTAAATCATGTGGTGTGATGAATAGTGAAGGTTTTATCACCTATAAATAAATGAGTTTACATAGTAATGAAAATATAGAAAAATTATGTATAACATGTGTAATATTTTGTTTCCCATTCTATTGTGGTTCTTCCTTTTTTATTTTCTTTAATTATAATTCTGAATTTTTAATCAAATAAAATTGAGATTTGAATTTATGTACAGAGTGCATATAGTATTTAGTCCAAAGCCTATGAGCTGGTCTAAGCCTTGTAGGCCTAGAGCATGACCTGGGCCGAGGTTTTTCAAACAGGTCCGAATTCCTTTTGGAACGTTTAAAGTAAAATAAAGACGCAAGGGCCTAACAAACGCTCTACTTCTAGAGCCATGGGTGGGGCCTAGGATTGGGCTAGGGCTGGGGTTTAGAATTTCTTTATATTTTATTATTATTGAGATGGTTGCGCGCGTGTAAATTGGATGATATATTGTGGGTATTTTCGTCTTATTGTTAATTTGAGGACTTAATGGAGTATTAAATTTGTTTTGGGTCTAAATGGGGTATGATATGTTGGGCTTGGACCTTTGGGTCAGTCTCCCTTTTTTCTAAACCCTCAAAATATCTTATTGGGTTGGGTGCCAAAAATGGTAGAGGCCTTAAAAATTCTACCAAAAATTTACCAAATGTCTCACATGGGTGTGGGACCCACATGAGACCCACATTATGTGGGTCCCACACCCATGTGAGACATTTGGTAAAACTTTTGGTAGAATATTTGGGGTCTCTAGCATTACTCGGTTGGGTGCATCATCAGGCCCATAACCACCCCTAATATATGTTCACACATTTTTTTTGTAAGTGTGTGAACAAATTTATTTTTTAGTGGCAAGGATCACTTAAGAAGATGCATCTATAAATTATCATTACAAAATATAGAATTAGATACTGAAAACACATCAACGGACAAATTTTTTGATGGAGTCCACTTTCAAAAAAATCTTACCTATCTATTTTTTTATATGTCTAATTTTGTATTTGATTTTTGTACACCTTATATCTGTACCTGTTATTTTTTAAATGGGGTTATGCCTCATTAGTCCAAGACATGATTGATGAGGGTTAAAAATAAATAAAAATAAATAAATTATAGAGTAAATCAGCATTCCATTATACTAGTATATTAGTACTTGGTACAACACTGCTACTAGTATCACTTTCATTAAACGCCATTGGCTACATATTAGGAAGACAAAACAGGGAAGAATAAGCAAAAAAGACAAGACTTCATTTTTTATTTTTTGGTACAACAGCACGTTATTTTTTTGACACGCAAAAGAGACCATTAACTACTGATGCTGATCGGAATCCATAGGTTGTTTCATAGGACTTATCTTTGGTGTTCCAATGTCACTTCTTTAATTTCTTTTTTTTAATATAATAATTCAGGTATCACTTCAATTTCTTTTTGAGTTACACTCGAGACTGAAGTATGGCTCCTGTGTTGGAAAATGCAAGGCCTCTGAGCCAACTTGGAAGCATCAATGAAAGTCGGTGGCCTGCCGAGAACAAAATGTAGAGAAAGTAAAGGAATAATGCTAGAGATTATAAAAAAATTATCATGAAATGTATTATGAAATTTTTTTATCATTTAATTAGTGTATGGTGTTTTATTGCATGTGTAATTCAAAAGTAGAGAATCTTTAATGATCATTTTTATAATATTTTTTTCATGATTCCTAACATTAGTGAGTCTAGCAAAAGAATTGAAGACATAGGAGAAGCAATACAGAAGCAAACTAGCAATGGAAACGTCGAATGGGGATATGTCGTTCCCTTGATACTTGATTTGCACAAAATTTAGCACGCTGGAACGATAAATAAAGGTGAGAATGGCATGATAAGTAGTGAGTCATGCTGAGAAATGCAACATTTTTTTGTTTGTCCAAAGAAATTTGTGTGCGCTGTGCAAGGCGATTGATTCCAGATCCAAAATTAAAGTAAATTTATTTTATTTTATAGAGTGATAATGTTTTGCCTATTCTCAAGTGTGTAGTGCGATGCTTTCAGTGTTGTCCCAAGAAAAATTCTTGACGTTGACGAGTGAAAACGAAATGTTACCACTGATTGTTGGTGACAATAACAATATTTATAGTCTATGATTACCTTCGTTTATGGTTTTGGATAACCCTAGAACTTGTTTGATTGGGCTGATTATATAATAGGATTAAGATTAATCTATGGAACTCACATTTCATTGTTTGCAAGGGAGGACCTAGGGCTAGGCATAGGTGGCGACAGCCCAATCCAAAATTTAAAAAATCTGTACAAATTTTTTTTCCCAGCCTAGCCTCTCAACCTCTCCCAGCCCAGTCCAACCCCACCCCAAATAAGGGCCAATAATTTTTTTGTTTGTTTTTTTAGATAAACAACCCAATAGCAGCCCAATACTTATCAAAAAAAGGCAACCCAATAGGTTTGTATTTGTTTAAAGAACAAATCTTCCAATAGATAGGCAACGGCCCTCTCTCCGTCGTCTCCAACAGCTTCACTTTCCTAACATTTTTTGTAAGTGTAATTAATCAATTATTTTATTTCATTGGTTGAGAATGGATTTGATTAACAATGGTTTTGAAATTTTGTTTTTATATAACAAATATTATATTGCTCTTAGTTTTTTTATGATGCTACCTTATTCAATGTTCTATATTACTTTTAGTTTTTGAACTTTGAAGGAGTTCTTTTGAACATATATAAAAATAATGAAAGCCTAAATAAAAATTATTGAGGATATATATAAAAACCCTAATATTTAAAATTATTGCGAATATACTCTTGTTTAATATTAAATATGGCTAATTTTTATTTTTAAAATTTTTTTAGGTTTTAAATAATGGAACCTCCACCACTCAAAAAAGGCAAAACCCTTTTCTCATTCTATCAATCAAAACAGAAGTCTAATAGTACAGTATCCAATGTTGTTGAAATCTCATTTTCTAATGTGCAACCGCCTTTTATGTCTCAAGCAGATAAACCAAGCGAATTTGATTCAACTGTTATTGAACGGGACCCTGGTTTACGCTTGCAAATTTTTGAATATCCAGTTAAATTAACGGGATGAGGTTAGATGAGCTTATGTGAACTTGGGGCCTTATCAACCTAAACTTGAGTATCCTAGGTTCTCATTTAGAAAGCAGAATCGCTAATTTCAACATATTTGGTTTTATCAATTTTCTTAGCTAGAGTATTCTCCTTCTGTCACGACCTAAATCCGCCCCTATAGGTTTAGCGTCGTAACCAGCCAGTAATCCGTGATTACCGAAGGCCTGTTTAACAATACTGACAATAATACAATATAACGGGGCAGGTGGAAACCAATCAATAACAACATACATCGTCCAATGAGCTATGAGGACCTGAATGGAAATAAACTTTCATGTACATAGCCATATTCATAACGATTTATGCCTATAACCATATATATACTACACAAAACATAAGTTAGGGAATCAATCCCATCATCTAGAACAGTATTGACAAAGCAAGGCTTCGAGTCGACGCCTCTAGCTTTGATCTGGTGCTTGGCCACCTACATATATGTACGAGCACGAAATAATGTTCTCGTATAATCCTGTTGATCAAGTCTGCGCTTCTCCAGACGTCGTCGCTTTACTCCCTAAAAATACAAACGTGAGCTAGCCGGCGGATGTGTGCTAAATATCTCTCCGATGCCTAAGTCAACAAATAGACAATAGACAAAAGCTCTGTGTATTTGAGAGTCAAAATTGTGATACCAGTACATAGGTCCTGCTATGAGCTTTTATGGATTCCCCGTGGCATAATCCTAGTAGGACTCTTTTTCTCCAATGTAGAGTCCTCTTAGGAATCAGAAAGGTAATGCTCATCTTTCTACACCCCTGTAAACGCACTCCCGAGAACTCCTTGACATCCTACATATATGTACGAGCACGAAATAATGTTCTCGTATAATCCTGTTGATCAAGTCTGCGCTTCTCCAGACGTCGTCGCTTTACTCCCTAAAAATACAAACGTGAGCTAGCCGGCGGATGTGTGCTAAATATCTCTCCGATGCCTAAGTCAACAAATAGACAATAGACAAAAGCTCTGTGTATTTGAGAGTCAAAATTGTGATACCAGTACATAGGTCCTGCTATGAGCTTTTATGGATTCCCTGTGGCATAATCCTAGTAGGACTCTTTTTCTCCAATGTAGAGTCCTCTTAGGAATCAGAAAGGTAATGCTCATCTTTCTATACCCCTGTAGACGCACTCCCGAGAACTCCTTGACATCCGCGCGCCTCCGCGATGGGGGCGGATCTCGCTTTGTTCTCTTAGCTACTACAATTCGAACTCAAATGTCACGGTTCTGAATCTAATCTTACAATGTGCGATGTAAGACCAATAAATCACCAAATAGTCCAAATCCGGCAAATCGTTTTGGAAAACTGATTTTTATAAAGAAGTGCCAAACATGGACTGCTTTGCCAGATACAGAGTCGCCACCTAAATATTTTATTTTGAGAGAATTTAGGAAACCCTGACTCGTGCCGAAGGCCACGTGTCCGTCATCATCAAAGTTACCTCAGCTCGGGAACTTGGGTACGATTGGGGAAGGTCATGTAATGAGCACCCCCGCTCACCCGATCAAAGATCGGCCTGTACTAAACATGATATTTTGTTTTTGAAAACACATACGTTCTTATTCCGGTTAATTAGCTAGAATTACTATGTGATGCGCACAGCATACAAGTATAGACTAGATCGCCTAATTTGGAACAAAACATTGGATATCCGTTTGTTTAGAAATGGTTTGAAGTTTGCTACTCGTAAGTAGGCTAAATCGAGGATTTTGATGAATTGTTCCAATTCAAGTAATCTAACCTTCAACCACAGGCGTTCAGACAGTTGTATCAAATAAGCAGTTAGCCTCATGGCAAGCATGCTTTCATGGTAATCGATAACACATATGTAGTATGCTAAAGCGTAAACACTCACAGTGTACTCCAAGCCAAAACAAAGAACTAGTTAGAAATCATGCATGATCCTAGTTCATGTTAAAATGGCTAATGTAACACACGCGAAAATGCAATTAAAATAGGCTCGACTATTCTAATCATGTCATGTGAAATGCAACTTGGTACATGTATTTAAATAGGTATCGAAAATACAATGCTGGTTTGTATGATGCGCCGAGCCCGATGCATGCAAAACAGATGAATGTATGCAATCATGCAAGCATAAGGATGCTAATTGAAACATGCCCTAAAACTAACCATCGTAAGCAGTTAAGTAAAAGGGAGAAAGAAATGGGGATTGGAAGACATGCATCACACACACGCACGCTTATTACAACAATTGGCCCTCTCGAGGGAGAGACCGAATAAGAAGCTAACTAGCTAATCTAAGCTAATTAAATTAATTATTACAACACAAATTAATTAACTAATCCTAGTTAACTAATTATTACAAAACTAATTGAAATGGCTAACGCATTAACTATTAGAGGTACAAACCAAAGCGTAAACTAGCTATCCAAGCATGGCAACTAAGGCAAGCAGTAAAACAGGAGGTTCTCAGAGGGAGAAGACTGGATGCATGCTCGGTTGCCTCATTCGGAAATCCAATGCGATGCCTCAACTTGCCTCTGTTTGCAATTGTTTCCAGAACCTTGCACAAGGCTCCAGAAAGCTAAAACTCCACCTAAGGGACCTGTGGGAGGGTGGCCGACCAGTTGTTGGTGTTTGTAGCCATGGCCGACCACCTATCCTTGTTGAAAGCTAGAAAAAGTGGTCGGCCGGCTAGTTTTTCTGGCTGGCCGACCAGTTGTTGCTGCTGAACTGTAATTTGCTGCAACAGAGAGCAAGAAAGGGCATGGCAATGTATTTGCAAGATATGTGTGCACAACCACCCTCCCTATCATGTCATGAACTCAAGGGAGTGTAGTTCTCGACCCTCGGGCCACCAATCGTGCATTTCAATGCATGATGGCCGAGAGGCGAAGTTGCACAATTCAATATGAAAATGAATGCACAAGTAAACACATAAGGCCTAAAACTCTATCATGTGTGATCAAGAGCGTCAGCGACCGGGAATTAAGGCACGTTTCATCACTTTAAGTATGAAACGTCCCTCGTTTCCCGTGTTTGGACTAACACCCATTCCAAACACAATGCAACACATAACATGGCATACACAATGCGACTCGAGTATGCAAACATGCAATGCAATGAAACAAGCATATGAACAACATGCGAGGGACAAGCATGCAAACATGCAAGGCAACATGAACAACCTAACAAGGCTAATGGCATGTAAACAATGCCAATGCATGCATACACAATGCAATGTTACAAGGGCAACTTAGCAATGTTAGGAACATGCAGACTCAATGCAAAGAAACAACTTGGCATACACAATGCAAATAACCACATGGCATACACAATGCAATGCAAGATGGCATACTTAATGCAATGAACAATAAGCATGCGAACAACATATAAAAAAGCATGCTAAATGGACTTAAACCAAAAGGGGGTAGA